TTTATTTAGACTTTAAGTTTCGTCTCCCGGGGGATTCCGTCATTTTCACGATTAATTAAATCAATTATCGCCTCCGTACCGAAACTGTCGCCGACGGGAGGAGACCGGCGCCGAATTGATCAAAGAATCCATCCGCGGTTTGACGAAAATTTAACGGAGCGCTACGTATGCCATGCCAAACGTGCCGCTTTCACGCGGGCTTTGGTAAATCCGATCTTACGCGTGTATTCTGGGAATCGCGCGCGACTCGAGTAACAGCGGCGGCAGTTTCGCATAACAGCGGCGGATACGAAGGGAAGAAAGACCGTATTTCAACCGCAAATACTCGCGCGTGATATTGGGAATATTTTCCGCTCTTTTTATGCAGAACGGCCGTCTGCCGAGTGTCCCGTAATCGCGCTTCGTAAAAAAGATACAAGCTCTTATGCCGTAATGTATTCCGTCGCGGTGTACTCGAGAATAGAAGTATAGGATATTTCCTTTGTGGAAATCTACATCTACAATCTACATCTACAAATTTGATATTTTTTTTTTACTATTAAATAATCGCGGCGATATACTCGATTACCGCGATAAAATTTAAATTGTGCGAAAGATGCTTTAAAAAATAAAATTCTGTGCGAGTTATCCGATTAATATTTGTGAGGCTTGATCGAATTTTTGTGGCTTAAATTTCGCTCGCCTGCGATATATTTAAGCGGCGAACACCGGAATACCCCTATATATTGCGGCACGCGGCAGAACGCGGCGTTCGAAATGCGTGAAAGCGTGCTTTATATTCGCATAAAGGCCCGAAGTACACGTTGTCGGGCGCGAATGTGCGTATCACACCCGGGGGCTCTGACAAATAGTTCCGGTTATCGGTTGGCTTTCGCGCGACTTAGGCTCTCCCTTTCTGCCTCTCGCACGCTCTGCACGTTGCACGCCGTTAATAAACTCGTCCAGAAGGAGAGCGTGCGTTTCGAAGGCCAAGTTTAGATGTCCAGATCGGAGAGGTTCCCGTCGGGAGAGATAGATGCCAGAAGGAGAGCTTGCTGCGCACGTAAACTATGCGGAGTTAACTTCCCGAGATATATATATATATATATGTATGTGCTGTACGTCAAACGCTTCGTTCACGCCGAAATTGTGCTACTCCATATCCCGGACGGAAGTTCAGCGACGTGATATCTGACAAGTGCACGAATTGTTATTAGAATAAATTCTTTTGCGAGAGAAATACGACGTAAAAATTGAAACGAGTTTACATGTATTATTTTCGCGCTTGTATTATTCGATGCATAAATATTAGCTTATTTTATTTATTTATTTTGTATATTTTTTCCGCTTTAATTTATATACATTTTTATTTATTCAATCATGTGAAAAAAATCACTACAAGGAATATATAACGATTTATTTCAACTTGTTACTTTGGTACTTTATAATACAAAATCGATTCTTAATAAAATAAATGAAAAAGAAATTAATACAATAAATAATAAATAACATAAACAAGAAGAGATTAACAAGACAAAATTAAAGGAAATTATAAACACTAAATATTTACATTTCGTTCGCCACAAAAAATCGTTGCCACACACGCAAAACCTACATTTCTTCTCCATAAATCGAAACTCTAAACGTTAAAGAACCAACCCTGTCGTCTGCAAAAATTTTAATATCCCTATAAATCAAGAAATTTGCATAATTGAGAAGATTTCACAGGCGACATGCGGAATTTATGCGAGATGTTAATTGCGCGAGCGTTTATCGACTTAGTACACAGCTAAATCTTCCAACGAGTTGTTTCCGTGAACAGCGGCAGGAATTCTTCTCGGCGATGATGCAAGATCATCGAGAGACAGCGGATGAATCTCAACGGACCGTTTCTCGATCCTCGTTTTTTTCTTACCTCCGCGGAAGACGAAGGAACGAAGGAACGAAGGGGAGGGGGAGAGGGGAAGGAGGGTTATGAGCACGAATATGAATTCATGATTAATGCTCGCGAGACGCGCGATTTGATATAAAACCTGACACCATCGGACCGCCGTCAGTTTTACCAACTAACGAGAAATAACACGTACCTTATACCTTATCCGTGTATCTCGCTATAAATCTCGCCGAGTGTTTTGATTTACGTACCTTTAGGAGCGTTCGCGAAGAAACGTGCAATATCTTAACGGGCCGCCGCTGCTTGCTCGTTTACTTGTCTTTTTCTATAAATCTGGATGTAATCCCGATCTTCCCTTGACGCAACGAAAATCGGGAGCCTCGAAGAGAGACGAAGATTGACAGCGGACAAATTAACGCGAGAAATGTATCTTTCGCATGTATCAAGATGTTTTCCTCGCCGATTGTCACGCCAAAATGAAACGAAAGATCGATCTCATCCTTAATCGAGCGAAATAAATGACGGAAGGACTTGCGGAGTATCAATATGTATAAATTTTTAATTAGCTATCCCGAATGAAATAGCGTGTTATTAGCAGAAACTAGTTATAAACGAGGATAGACGGGAAGCAAAAAGAGCACGAAATTTCCATAAAAGACGAGTGGTATCGTAACCCAAACAACATCGGCCAGCAGCCCGCATATCCTAGGCAACAGGGGCGAAGCTTTAAAAGCTGATTCATTGCCGAGTCCCTTCTATTTCCCTCACCGTTACTTCTGCTTTATGCAATACATTAATGGATATTCGTTTCGTCGAATAAGTTTTATATATAATATAGTTCCTCGTAACGGATGTACCAGCGGGATCAATTTCGATCAATCGTATCACGATCCTTCTCACGCGGTATCACGCAACTCTTTTCTTAAAAAAATAGAAAGACGAAAGATGGATGACGTGAGGATAAAGATTTCCGTGACCACGCCACCAAATCGGCAAAGTGATCATCAGGTATAACTATTTGCGAGACGAGGCGAGATACGATTGCTGCATCGCTGAACGAGATCCTGGATACGCGCGAAGCCTCTAAATGCGACGGATGAAAAGCGTAGACGATTATACGATCGACGCGCGTGTTCATTACGACGGCGCAATCGTTGCGCGCGCGCGCGCGCGCGCGAGCGCGAGCGATTCATAATAACGCATTCTCTGTAATATCGCCGGGCGGAGCGGGGTCGTGTCGAAGAGAGATCGCGATAATGCGTCATTGACGGATTCAACGATGCTCCGAAGCGGGCAACCCGTAACGAAGCGAAAATCAAAAGCGCATACGTCTCTATTGGCGAGGCATCGGCGCGGGGCCTCGCTTCCGCGCAGCTGCGGCGGATGCATCTCGCCGGTGCATTTCGTTATACCGCGCGCACGCCAATCGGCCGTATCGGGGATTCGAGCCACACACGTAGCCGGGCCTCACTCTCTCTCTCTTCTCCCTTGATACTCCAACGCCGGGGTTACACGCACGTCTACCGCGCGACGGCGTCTTATAAATAGCGACGCCCGCGTCGAGGGAGGGGCGGGGGCGCTAGCGGTTAACAAACGGTAAAACTAACACCCCGCCCTCCTACAATAACATTTCGCTCCGGTCACGTGTTTTCCGCGGGTCGACTATTATAAGATCCGTAACTGCTTCGATCCCCGCGATCTTTCCCCGCGTCTTTCTTTCTTCTCTTTCTCACATCTTTCTTTCCGTCCTTTCTCTCTGTATCTTTTAGCGTTTTCCTTTCTCTCGACAGCCCTCGACTGCTCCATCGTGACGTGATTTGCATTTTCGAATAATATTTTTTATCTATTTTATTTGGAAAAATTTTATTTGCATTACGTATAAATAAAATAATAATGAACAATATGTATTAACATTTACGTAATCTATTTCGGAGAGGTATAAAATTCAAAGAGGTATAAAATTCAAACTAAAACGAAATGAAATTTAATTTATGAAAATCAATGATTATTCACTCTTAAACTAAAAAAAAAAGGAATCTTTATATCCCAACTATTAGGATCCTACTTAAACATGTCATTTGAATAAAATTTTATTCAAATGCGATATTTATTTGCAATTCACAGTAAGCTCTTATTCGAATAAAGTTAATCTCTATTCAGAATGAGATTCTATATTCCTCATTGGTTATTTGTTATTCGTGAATTTATCTTCTCGAGCCGACGCCCCACGGCTCCGCGAGAGGCATACCGGTTTCGGTGTATCTAGCGAACGATCGAAGCATCGACGTTGATTTATGTACGAGACATTCGAACGCTACGCCCTTGCTCGTTAAGGTCGAACGAGCGAGCGGCCAGACGCATCCCGCGCCGACTGGCTATTTAGGCATCGATCGCCGGCTCGGACTTTTACGAAAGAGCGGATACACGCGCGGTGCGGCTCGCCCCGGAGTTACCCGGCTGGGTTACCAAAATGGCATTGTGCTGCTTTGATAGTCCGAATTGCAAACGAAGCGAGACTCGTACGTTCGTTCGTTCGTTCCGTCGGCAGATCGGCCGGTAGTCCTCGCGCTCCTCTCGTCGAGGGATTAAATTCGAACCTACTCTCGATACCCCCGAGTCTCCCCGAAACGCGATGAATACTCTATCTCCGATAAATACTCCCTCGTCCTATGGACGAATACAGAAACGGGTTATTAGCCAGAATTGATGTTGGCTCTCTTGATGCTGAGAACCAGTTATTGGAATATTGAATGGCTCGAGTCAATATGATGAATTGTACGCAAGAGGGAGAAAAGACTGGAGTTTTAAGAAAATTTTATTAGTGTTACAAATATAATTTTAAATAGTCAATAGATATGGAAATAAATGCTTTTAACGCTTTTATATAAAACGTAGAAAATTTTTTTCTTTCATGCGAATTTATGTGGTCGGCGATTATAACTATTAAGAGAGAAACGCAACGTTTCATTTTCTCAGCTTTTCGTCTTAATTGATCTATGAAACTCTGTAGAGAAACAAAAGCGCTTAGCATATATTGTGCCACATTCTTGTATTCCTCACGACGCAAACAGCACCGCTGTTAAAAACGTTAACAATAAAAGGATGTTTTTTTCACTTTTTGTTGCAGTTATGCGAGCTATGCAGCCATGAGTCGAACGTCGTCCTTGAGCACGAGACCCGCGCGACGGACGAAATTATTTCCTACGCGAACAATGACGAGTCTGCTAACGTTACTAGTGTTCGCAACGACATTTACAAATGTACTACCAGAATCGGCGATAAATCCGGTAGGCAGCATCGTCGGATCGGGCTCGGGAGTCTCGTCCTCGTCCGGCAGCTCCTCATCCTCGTCGTCGTCGGTGATCGGCGTGGTGTCCGACAGTTCCAGTTCTAACGGCAACGGCGGTGTTGGAAATGGTAATGGCGTTGGAAGTATCAGCGGTAGCGTCAGCAGCGGCCATTCCGGTATAAATGGGGTCGGCGGTGGCCATTCCGGTCTCGGGAACGGGAAGGGCCGATGCGAAGAAATCACGATTCCCATGTGCCGCGGTATCGGCTACAATCTCACCTCCATGCCGAACGAATTGAACCACGACACGCAGGACGAGGCCGGCTTGGAAGTGCATCAGTTTTGGCCGTTGGTGGAGATAAAATGCTCGTCCGACCTCAAGTTCTTCCTGTGCTCCATGTACGCGCCGATCTGCCTACCGGAATATACGAAACCGCTGCCGGCCTGTCGCAGCGTGTGCGAGAGAGCGCGAACGGGTTGCGCGCCCTTGATGCAACAGTACGGCTTCTCGTGGCCGGAGAGAATGGCATGCGAGCGTCTGCCGTATCACGGCGACCCGGAGAACCTATGCATGGAACAGGACAATCATACCAGCACCAGCACAGGCCCTGGCGGTAACGGCGGCGCGGCGAGTAGCGGCGTCCCAGCACCGGGACAACCGGCGCGGCCCACGCGACCCAGCAAGACTTCGCAGCCGGCCCGCTGCAAGCCGGGCAAGAATCAAAAAAACTGCCAGCACCCCCCGGGGGAGAGGACGAGGGACTGCATGTGCAGATGCAGGGCGCCCCTCGTGCCCCTGGGGGCGGGGGGCACGGGAATGTCAGGAGCGATAAGCGGCGTCAGCGGCAGCGGCAGCGGCATCGGGACCGGCAGCAGCACCGGGGCCAGCAACGCGGGGGCTGGTCTGGCCGGCATGGCCGTAAGTGGGATACCGGCACCGCCATCGATGGGAAATATCGGCCGAAGCATCATCCAGGAGGTGCCGGACTGTGCCCTACCGTGCCGCGGCGCGTTCCTCACCAACGAAGAGCGCGAGTTCGCGGCCGTCTGGCTGGCGCTTTGGAGCGGCCTGTGCGCCGCCAGCACTCTCGTAACCGTAATCACATTCTTAATCGACACCCAGCGTTTCAAGTATCCTGAGCGACCGATCGTCTTCCTGTCAGCCTGCTACTTCGTCGTCTCCGTGGGCTATCTGTCGCGCAACGTGTTCGGCCACGAGGAAATCGCCTGCGACGGTCTGGCTTTGAAATCGGGTGCCCAGGGCCCGGGCGCCTGTGTCACAGTTTTCCTCATGATCTACTTCTTCGGCATGGCTTCCTCCGTGTGGTGGGTGATCTTGGCATTCACGTGGTTTCTCGCGGCGGGCTTGAAGTGGGGCAACGAGGCGATAGCATCGTACTCGCAGTATTTCCACATGGTGGCATGGCTGGCTCCGACTGTGCAAACGGTCTGGGCGTATGTCGCGGGTGGCGTCGCCGGTGACCCGGTAGCTGGAGTTTGCACGGTCGCTCCCGAGGGAGTGCGTAATTTCATCCTCGCTCCTTTATTTGTCTACCTTCTGCTAGGCACGACGTTTCTTCTGGCTGGTTTCGTAAGCCTCTTCCGAATTCGATCGGTGATCAAACGTCAACCTGGCGCGAAGGCCGACAAGTTAGAAAAGTTGATGATACGAATCGGCGTGTTCAGCGTACTCTACACGCTACCGGCCAGCGTGGTCTTGGCCTGTCACATCTACGAGTCGTCTCTGCGAGATGAGTGGCTCAGCTCGTTGGCGTGTCCCTGCCGCCCACGGGCGAGACCGCTCTACTCCATCCTGATGCTTAAGTACTTCATGGCTCTCGCGGTCGGCATTACGTCGGGTGTCTGGATTTGGAGCGGCAAGACGGTCGATTCTTGGAAACGGCTATGGAGGCGTTTGTTCGGTCGTGATCGCGGCCACATGGGCGCCGGTGCCGGGATGGTGGCCGGCGTGACCGGCGTCAGCGGCGGTCTCGGCAGCGTTGGCATCAAAGGCGTCGTGGGTCGGGGAATCGCGATGCCCTATCCCTCGGCGCCCGGTCCCGGCAGTGCTCTGTTACCCCCGGGTAGCGTCGCGAGCGCGTCTCAGCATCACCTGCACCATCATGTACTCAAGCAACCACCGCTCTCGCACGTATGACGTCACCAGTCTGCGGGGGGCGACATGAACACCGCTGGATGCGGCGAGCAGCAGCCACAGCAGGAGAGGCCTTCCGCCCTCAGCAATTACGGGCCCATCTAGCCCTTCGCCTCGGCCTCGCGCAGGCATAACGCGACGCCGCACACGGCGCCGCATACGGCGCCGCATACGCCTCACTCGGCGGCGACCATCTACTCCAGGAGGTCGCTCGCGTCCACGACGGGCCCGTTAACACCGGCGCACGGGATCGCGCCCTCCTACACGCAGGCCACCGAGGTGTGAGGAAAGGGATCACGTGGAGGCGCACACGTGAAGATTTAGACGATTCAGCGGCCCCGACGTCGGCGTCATCGGCCCGGTGGTCATCCTTCGCGCGATGGACGACGAGCGGCCGCGGTGCTTCTCGATTACCCGATATACGTATTAGCCTGTATACGTGTCTTCTCCCGCGGGAACCTCGAGGAATCTTCTCTCCAGCTCGAATCACTCGGCGATTTTTTTAGCTCGTCTCTTTATCTTATCGATCAATTCAGAGAAAACCGTAATGAGTCCGGGAGACGATTAGAACAAAGCGTTTTGATATTATCGGCAGGGAGGGTGACTCGAGTGTCGCGGGGTATAGTGAGATTGTGATTTAGAAGAAAGATTCAGTGTGAATGGCACTGAGAAACGTGCGTGCGTGCATAACGGTAAACGGTGTCGATTGATTTCTCTATCTTTATCCGTATCTATCTATCTCTGTCTCTTTCTCTAATCTTTCTTACATTCTCGTAAAAGCGGCGCTCATAAAGCCCGCTACCGTGTCCGTCTAACGTGTATCGTCTCGTCTATTTATCTAATCTAGCTATTAAAGGGCCACGTTGGGAATGCACATACGGATGCGACGTGTACGCGAAAAGCGGCAGCCTGTTTCCTTCCTCCCCTTTCCCGGAAGAGAGAAAACTGCCACAACATTTTCGATACCTCGCTCCGGGCTCTCTTCTCGTGTCAACCCCTTGCCACTGCCGCGATTTCTCGATCGCGAAATTTTGAAAGTAATTCCGATTGAAAACAGGCCGCTCGCTCGCGGAAGGAAAGGCGCAATAAAAGGAAAGCGAGTGTACAGGACAAACACTAAAGTAACGATGTAGGCAGAATGGATAATTGTAAATATCGTTCTTAGATGTTAGTTCGACGCTGTAAATAAAACGGTCGCCAGAGTCGTTATAGGACATGGGGGCGCGAAAGACGATTGCGCTTGTGGCGAGTGTTACGTCGTTTCCTTTCACAAGCAATTATCAGCCAAAACTTGTCGCACTCGATATATCGAACGGAAAAATCCGTTAATTAGTCCGCGTTATGCAATGTCGAGTTGGAACACGCCACTTTCGCCAACTTTCCTCGAGATAATATCCAATTTGTGACAATTTGTTGAAAGATTTAATCAAATATTTATTTCGTTTAATTAGAATTCGCTGAGTTACTTCCGACTTAAAGTTGGGGTGTTAAAACTCGGCAAATTTAATCCTTTCTAATGAAAGTTTAATATAGATTGATTAGATCTCTAACAATATATATCTATATGTTATTTCGTTGATTTTAATTTATAAATATAATAAATCATATCGAATCATATACATAAAAGGTTATATATATTTTTTTAGTTTACGGTAAATAAATAATATAATTTATAATTCCAGATTGCATAACACGATTTGAAGTAATCGATAAATTTCGACAGATTTTGATCTGGTTTCGCAATAATAGGATCGAGCCACAAGCAGAACAATCGTCAACGAAACTAGATCCATATGTGTCCTCAGAATGCGTAATTCAAATATGTTATATATATATAGGTCTGCCTCGCGAAGAGAGATTACACGTAATTTAACACATACGTTGGTGTACTAGTTCGAATCTTTTTATACTCGTAAGTAAGGGCGCGTCGTATTCTCTTGTCGTAGTTCACCCAAGTCGCAATGTTCAATGCGGAATCGATAATAACGGAGAGTAAAAGACGCGACATTTTTTTTTTTTTTATTTTTACTATACTTCCCGTGATTGCCGACTCCTTCGCGCCACGTGTCGCGAGGGGTGGTCGACGCGATAGCGTAAGAACGTGAAAGGAACGCGACCCGCCCTTCCACGGGGGCAAAGGAGCGCGGAAGGAAATCTACATGCATCCCGAGGCATAGTACGTAGAGGAAAAATTATGCACGCGCGCGTATATATATGTAATTCTCATGTAAATCCCGATGATCTAGAAATAGTCCCCGAGCGAGATTACGCGCGTGATATAACGGAAGTAACAGCCCTTAAGTACGTATTATACGCGTGACGTTGTCAGTCACTAGCAATATCGTTAATCCAGAACCCTTTTCTAATACCGGAAACTGTGAAATTGTAGAGAAACAGAAAATGAATCGGAGAATTTTACAGCATCTCGTAAGAGAACTACGGTCGGACGCATAAAATTTTAATTATACATATAGCTGAATTTGAGCAAATTTTAGATAACACACTTACCGTGACTCAGGGATCCAGTGTAAGCCCTCAGGGATCCAGTGTAAGAATATCGTAATCGCAATAATCGCGAAATCTGATTTCGAGCTAAAATATAAAGATGGGAACAGAGTGTATGGCAACTTTCGAGCACTGCCCACTGTATTTCTTTACGAGATGTTGCGAGCGCAGAGCACAAGCAAAAGGACTGAAAAACGAAAACTGCCTCATCCGACTTGACATATTGACTGCCACTGGATTCATGTATGAATGATACTCAATTTCATGAAGAAGCACCAAGAAACTAAACGTTTCTTTCATAATTGACTTGTTTTCTTTCATCAAACGTAATTGAAAAATGCAGCATTTTTTTTTATAAAAGCTTGATATTAAGCTTGATTCGCATGAATGATATCAAGTTTTCAAAATTAAAATGCTGTGTGAGACGGTCGTGACGGTCAATGTGTTAAATTCGTTAACCGTGTGTCTTAGACGGTTTAGAAACCTTTGCCAAAACGAAGAATATACACACGTAACGTTGTAAATTAGAGAAGTAAAGATGTCTTACGATTAGTGTCCACATATCACGCCAAACCGAAAAGAGGGGAGGAAATGATCGATATCGCGTTCGAACGGAGGCGACGGAAAGAGAGGTCGGCTGGAAGAAAGAGGGTGAGAAAAGAGAGTGCGGAATGTGAGTTCGGTGTGCAATTATTAGAAATACGAAGGTTTCTTTGGCGCGGAGATATTTGAGAGTATTCGACGGTTGCGATATCGAAGAGTGGCGTAAAGAAATCATTAAGAGAATGGATCTTTAGTATTTGTATAAGCCACTTTTTGTCACACTAATTGTCAATAAAAAAAGAGAATACTGTGTGTATAACGAATGTGTTTCGAGATCGGTGTTACGGAGTTGCTGCTTCGCTCGTTCCTCGCGCACGGCCGAAGCGCGATATCGGAGCGTCTCTTTGTTTCCCTTCTTTATTATTATTATTATTATTTTTTTTTTTCACTCGTGCGTTTTCCGTTTCTCGTTCAAGCATTTATGTTCTGGATCGCACAACGAGTTTTACACGCGGTCAAAACGTCGACCGCTTTGTACAATTTTTACGTTGCCATAGTAACCGTAGGTGTAATTAACCGCTGTCGGTTGCAAAAGTATAAAAAGTATAAGTACGTATATGTGTATATATAGATGTGCACATGGCCGCGTGTACATATATAACGCGTATATATCCAAAATGTATACGACTTTTAATACATTTTATTATTATTTAATTTTCCTGCGTCAGTTGTGTTTCTCCTATCCCCCTGTCGACGTCGCGCGCGATCTTTCTTTTCTTCCTTCCTTTCTTGTTTCGTTTTTTTTTTTTTTTTTTACTCCAGTTTTCTTACTCGTGCTTAC